ACTTTGCTGAAGACAAGGTTCTTTTGGCACTCCACTCAAACCCTGAAACGGCCTCAAACTTCATCCAAAACTACCTAAACCTTTTATAAATATGGCATAAAGACTGAGGGATAAAAGTTAATGAATCCAAATCTGTTCACTGCACCTTTCCCGCTCCGACAAGCTGTCTGTCCTCCTGTGTATCTTAATCACCTTCTACTCTCACCTGATCAAACCGTTCGCTACTTAAGTCTTTATCTAGATCGCCGGCTAATCTGGGCTACGCATATTCACACCAAACGGCTTGCTCTAAATAATTGGTCCCTTCAATTGCGTTTTCTTTTGACATCTAAACATATAAACCTCAAGAATAAACTTCTTTTATACAAATTATTCCTCAAACAAATAAGGACTTATGGCATCCAATTATGGGGTGTCGCCAAACCCTCCAAATTACTAAAATCCAATCCTTTCAATCCAAATGCCTACGACAAATAACTAAAGCTCTATTCTATGTTTCCAACGATACTCTCCACAAAGATCTATTCATCCAAACAGTAAAGAATGTAGCCAAGACTTTCTACAAACGTATGCACTCCAATCTCCACAATCATCTCAACCCCTTAATTTCGGATCTATCTATCCCCACCATTCCTGGTGACCACAGAAGGCGTCTAAAACGAACATGGTGTCGTGACCTACTGTTAGACTAACCCCACCCCCACATGTCAAGAAGTTCTATCAATGGATTGCCTCTTCACCTAAGTCCCCCTGTCTTGAACTGATATAAATAATTGTGATTTAACTTAACTTATTGTTTGTTACATTATCCATTATTTTTCTTTTCTTTTCAGTATTAATTCTTTCTTCATTTGTGTTTTGTAAACCTTACTTTACAGATTGTACAATTCTCTAGATTAAAAAAAAAAAATTGTTACATTCAAAAGCTTATCTTATTGCACGTTGATGTGCTTGAAAAATAACCAGTACATTTGTCGGCTGAAACACGTGGTATAACGTAAAGTTTATATACATAATATATTATATATATATATTATAGAAAAAAAGTGTTTTTATAAATGAATTTTAAAACTATTGATAGTAATAAAAATGGTGAGACTGGATAGTCTTAAAGGCCCAATAAACCATAAGAAAAAGAAGAAGAAGAAGAAGATAGTTATAAAGGGGGCAATTTTTATTTTTCTTTATTTATATTTTTATCTTTTGAAAAAACGTCGGCAAAAAATTTTACCCAAAAACATTTTTATATATTTTTTAAGTTTTATATTTAAAATTTTTCAATGCTTATGTACATTATACCTCAATAAATTGTTTTTGAATAAATATGTAGTATAAATAATAAATAATAAATTATATATCATTATAAAATGTGTAGTTTTTGGTTACAAGATTTTAAAAAAGTGTGCGGTTTTTGGAGTCGTCGGAATATTCTTTATGAGAAAATTTCACTATATTTATTTAAGTTAATAAATTATATTATTATCATTATATAATTCAAACTCCTATCTTTAGATACCTATCTATATTCGTTAAAAACTCATTGAATTCATAATGTCACAGGCAAACAAATAAAAAATAGTGTTATAATTTATATTGTTAACGCGGACCACACGGCGGCTGTTTACATATGATAGATTCACGGAATGTGACTGTTTACCTATAAGTGTCCATATAACTAAAATATTAATTTCGTAAATTACTACTGATTAGTCATACCTTTTTGTTATGTTATACCACTACTACCAAGCAGATATTATATTAAAAATCCTAAAAAGACTACTAATAAAACTAAGCCAAACATGAGAAATTTTTATTTATAGAAATTAATATTAAATTTTATTTAATATATGAAATTAATAATGCTTTTTAGTAATTGGTTGATTGACTACAAATTATTGGTTCCTGTTCATACACGTACGAATTGCGATTTAGACCGTGTAAAGATACAAACAGTGCGTAAAAAGTACTCAGCTCTTCTAAATCATCATTATAATTAGACAGCAATTATTCGTTGGCGAAGAAAAATTAATTTAATATGATAGACATAAATTCAAATTATTTTTACGACTTAAATAATTTATATAAAATGGCAAAAAACAGTACGATTGAAGAAAAAAAAATGCGCTTAGTGAGGTAAAATGGCTTAGAAAGAAATAATATTGGTTTTTATAAAACAATAATTAAAGAAAATAACGAATTTTTAAAATTAGATAGGTATGGAGAAAAAGTATTACTTGATAATCTACTTATGGCCTACAACAAAGAGTAACAAATAACTAATTAAAAAAAATGTATCATTAATTTATCACCCCTAATACTCGAAGTGTAACATTATAGTATTATATTAATTTAAAACCAAAACAATTACTGAATCCTATTATTTATGATGAAGAAGAAATTTAAATTTATCATTAGGCATTTTATTATATTTTTAAATTAATAATTTTAATGTACCTAAGTAAATGTGTAATCGTTTTTTTTTATGTATAACCGTAGGTATCAATCATATTTTAATATTATTTAATTTTAAAATTTATATTCTAGTCATTATATTAATCATATTATACCATATTAATATTCTCAATGGTTGAAGATATTATTATATAATTATGATGTTTATTTTTGTCTTCTAAAAAGTAGCTGTTTTTAACTTATTCTCTTTTTTATGTACTCCATCTATTTGTCATTGGGTGGTGGGCAGAGCCGTAACTAGAGTGAGGTGAGCGAGGCACTTGCCTACGTCATCTGAAGCTGGGGGGGGGGCGCAAAAATATTAAATAATTAACTTATTTTAAGAAATGTTATTTCTTGTTTTGCTAGAAACCAAATTAAAATTTTTCAGATTTTTCCGAATCGTATTATACATATTAAAAGCTATAATTGTGACAACCCTAAAACCTAGGGGGCACATTGCTTTAGTTCTGCCTCAGGATAAAAAATGGCTTGGTACGGCTCTGGTGGTGGGCATAAAAATTTTTATATGACGGCAACTTCCAGAAGATTTTGTATAAACTTCGGGAATAGGTGCACAGACCAGCACCAACGAATTATTGAATTTGATTTTCCTAATTCCAATGTGGGGTTGTTAAGCATGTCCTCGACACCCTCACAGCAAAATTTGAATATCTTAAAAACGATGAAAGCACAAACGTCGAGAATAAGTGCATAAACCAGCACAAACGAATTACCGAATTTGATTTTCTAAATTCCCAAGTGGGGTAACCCGAGAAATGGAGCTTATACATAAAACTAGTCAACAGACGAATGAGCATACGAGTAACCAGTATTGAAAGTATTATATTGGGCGTTTTTTTTTTCTATTCGAAAAAAATTTAACATATGCCATACTCGTAAATGTAAAAAAAAAATCACATCATCGAGTCCCCAAGCTCCTTAGCCTAGCCTGCTCCTAAATCCGATTCTAATAATGGTAGTATAGACGGCGTTTCGTATAGGCAATTCAATGACTTTATTGCGTGTTGCGTGAAAATAGTTAAACAAACATATACGTATAATCCGTAAATATGTAGGTAGTCCACGGTATAGGAAAATATCGAAACCTATAAGGTAATAAGCGAAATGTGACAATAGATAGCGTTATGTGTCATAGTTGAAAAAATAATTATTATCGAATTTCTAGATTTCTGGCTCCGATTTCATTTTAACGTTAACGAGTTCTTCTGTTAAATGGCCTATATATGTATATTTAGTCAATGGTATAATATAATAATAAGTATATTGCAAATTCGGTTGATAGAGCGGCTCTAGCGGACCGAAAAGAATAAAGAGTACTGTCTGAAGTTTAGGATGTGAAAAAAAAACAATTACGCTAACATCTTAATGTTTCATTATATCCATATTACTAGGAGAATACGTTGGAACACGTGAATTCCAGTGTGTACGATTCTCGGCCTTAATGTCAATTACTAACCCAGCCGAGGCAGACCGTTATTTTTTAACACTCAAAAATCATTATTTTTCGGTATTTTATAAAACATACACTGTACTATAAAAATACATATCTTTATTTTAATGTGGGACAGCTCTGATAGTCATTGAACATGCAAGGGGTAAACATAAATATCTAAAGCTGGACAAATTCCAGTTGGTTAACAGTTATTTGGAGGTGTTGGTGGTTTATTTCATCTGGACAGTGAGGTAATTTGGGGAGGGGGCGACAATTTATGTATTTTTCACAGTCTAGAGCTTAGAAATTCCAAAAAAAAAAAAAAAAAATAGCAACTTTATTAACCAGCCTTATTGTTTTCCTTAAATATATAATCCTAAATATTGAAAACTGAGCAATCACATAATTCATGTACCACGCATGAAACGATTTATTACAAAAAAAAAAAAACAATAAAAACACAACAACTACAAAAAAATAGTTATTCGTTAATTTTGAATTTTAATAGACTTCGAATATAAAATGATAACTTGTTATCACTGGACGAAAACGTGTGATGATTTACGCGGTAAAAAAAGTATTATCAATTGTTCGGGTCGCGTCTTGCCGCAGCAGTTGAAATCGTACGATTTCTACGTAGACAGATTGTCTACTAACAGGTCTACGGTTAAAAACTTGAAATCACGATTACCATCTTGAACCGCGGTTGAAATGCACGTAACTTTTTCCTATTCCTGGAAACACTACGGTACGTGTGTATTATTCATCGGTGAAGTACGCAAGAACGTGATTTCGTATGAATATATTTGCTTAACATCAAAACACGCGAACTTAATTTTTCCGGACAACCATTGAAAAACACGACGTCGCGGCGCGCTACCGACCACGCAAACGTATTTTGTTTCGGTTCTCGTTCCACGGGTCCATTACCGATCGCCGATCGTGCAGCGGCGGCGGCGATCGTCGGATATCCCCCGTAGCGATCCAGCGGCGAAGCGGAAGCGAGCCCGGACGGGGCACAGATCGCGTCTTTGCCGCGAACGGCAGCATCAGCAGCAGCAGCAGCAGCAGCAGCAGCGGAGACCTCCGCCGTCTACCAGACGCGGCACTTGTCCGCGGGGTTCATGAACGAGCCGACGGGGCACCGGAAGTCGGCGGCGAAGTGCCGCTGGTTCTGGAACGCGCCGATGACGCGGTACCGGCCGGGCGGGTGGCGGCCGGTGAGCGCGGCGTGCCGGAGCGCGTCGGCCCGGTACACGGAGCACCACACGTTGGCCGCGCTGATCCAGAACATCTGCCGGCCCGTGTACTCGTGCAGCCCGGGCAACCGGGGCTCCCGGCGGCGTCGGCGGTCGCGGCGGTACGCGCTGTACGCCAGCGCCACGCCCCCGTTGTCCGCGATGTTCTCGCCCAGCGTGTTCAGCCCGTTGACGCGCGCGCCGCCGTCGCCCGCCCCGCCGAAGCCGCCGTACTGCCGGACCATGCAGCGCGCGCGCTCCGCGAACCGGCCGCTGGTCTCCGGCCGCCACCAGTCCCGCACGTTGCCCGCCCGGTCGTACAGCCGGCCCTGGTTGTCGAACGCGTGCGTCATCTCGTGCCCGATCACGTAGCCCGCGCCCCCGTAGTTCATGTAGCCCGGCCGGTCGTCCGAGAAGAACATGCCCTGCAGTATGCCTGCAACCCACGCACCCATGAATACATCCACGTCCCCGTGAAGTTTCATCGGTTAAACATGCCTTCGGCCAAGAGATAGAATAAGACATCAAAAAGAGAGTCTCACCCGATCGCGTAGTTACACTCGTGCAATTAGGACTGTACGTACGGTACGTGTACGCGTGTGTTTATCGATGTTAGGGGTGAATGTAGTTATGTCTAATCGGCCGTGAAAAAACGATAAAAAGTATTGCCGCAGTCGTGGATTAAGGGTGTTGTTGACTTACCCGCCGGGATTTGTATGCTATTCTCGACCAGATTGTAGAGCGCGTTGACAACGGTCACTCTGCCGTGTGTCGTCCAGTCGGACTTGTTGACCGGCACGTGTAGCTTCTCGAAGTTTTTGTCGCATACGAACTTGGCCAGTCGCAGCACTGACCCGAAGTAATCGCTGTCGTTTTCAAATCGCAGCGGCGCGTAGTAACCGTCCACCTTTTCGGCGTCCAGCAGCTCGTCCGGATACGCAACGAATTCTTCTATAGCTTTAGCTTTGTCCAGCGCGTTTTTTTTTCGTCTCCGAATCCATCCAATCTGTCACACACGTTTTTCAATATGACTGCAAACTACATTCTCCAAAGTAAACGAGATATCATCACGAGATAAACCGTTATCGTATCTAAAGTATACTAGCACATCAAAGAACTACATTGTGACGCATAGGAAACACAACAAATGACGTTGATTTTTTAAATTTATATCATGAAAATTTTTCGTTACCACATCTTATAGACGTATCGTTCAAGTTATTTTCGTTTTTATATATTATAAATTCAGGTTATAATATAATATATTAAATACTCGAACATAGGTACAATAATTTTACTAAACTATAATATATTCAATTATTTTATTAGATAAACGTCACTTTATATACAAAATTGTAAATTACAATTAATTTATTATCAAATATTATTTGCTATTTTAGGAACTATTGTAAGAATAATCAAACATTGTGTACGCGGATCGGAATGCAATGTGTGGAAATAATGAAGTTTAAGAGGAAGAGTCAGAAAAATCCAATATTGTGACTGGGCTAAGCTAGAAAGATGCCCTGTTTTTAGTTCTCTTTTATGTTGGATTTTAATCAGTTATGAAGGAGACGTTATCGTGTGTAGCAGAAATCAGAATTGAAAACGGTCAATAATTTGTAAAGTATGAGCGCGCTCGATGTAACGATATTGGGGAAAAATGAAGAAGATATATAGATAAGTTTTAAAAGACAAGACTATTTGGCTGTAGATAATCACAGTAAATCACAGAACTCTTAGGGTCAAACATTAACGAACCGCTATTGGCCAAGTAGAAATAAAACTAAGATCGTTAGCAGCAAATGGATTCTATTATAGGTCAACACTCCCGTTGAAGTCGTAGTGTCTTCCGCTGAAATCAAACATAACACTGAACAAGTCGCTGGTCAGCGTTGTCAAGGAATGTTATCGGTAGAAAACGGAGAGCAGCTGTCAAATGCGTACGATGAAGCGAGTGAGATATTTTGAGACGGATATTCTACCGCGGCAGTGGACGCGGACGACCCACACGAAGCCGACAACAAGAAGCAACGATCGTTTGTACCTGAGTTCTTCAGGGCCACGTAGATCTCTTGCCGGACGCTGTTGATCATTTGGACGGCGGCGGTCTTGACGCGCTCGCTCGGGTATCGTTTCAGGTACATCGCGCCGACGGCCAGGTGAAGTTTGGACGACACGAACTCGACGCACTCGGCCCACCGCGGTTCCCGGGTCAGCGGGCCCAGCATCTCACCATAGGCCACCTGTTGCCGGGCCCGCAGCCGTCCGGCGGTCAGCGCGATGCAGGACGCCACGGCCCGCCACACCATGTAGTTGGCTTGCACCCGACGGTCGGTGGCCCGAAGCACGGGGCCCAGTCCGGATAGGTACCCGGGCACGTTAACCATGACGCGTTGGCCGTCCCGTACGCACGCCGCGTCGCCGCTGCGGCCGCTGTCAGGGCACATCAGCCGGTTGATGTACTCGCGCCACGGCACACCGGGCCGGCGGGCCGTCAGCTCGGACACGGTCAGCACGGTGAAGTCGGCCAAACCGTCGGCGGACTGCATCTGCTCGAGCGCGCGACAAACGAGAACAACGGGTTCAGTCGGGGGCAACCTAAAGGCAAATCCTAAAGGTATGGTTTTCTAAGCGCGGTTGGCCGTGACGGCCGATATGACTGGTTTCGTAGACATAGAAATCGCAGCTTTTCAGGTTAGGTTAGCTCTAAACATATTTTCTGCGTTTTGTAGCAGTACTTAGGTTTTTGTAGAGTAACGACGCCTGTTGAATCGTACAATTTCAGTATGCCCGAAATCGCGTGCATTGTGAATAACAACAAAATCATTATAAGTTTGCTCGAAGAGAAGGAGGAATGAGATAACATTTTTTTTCTCTAATTTTTATCCAAAAAACAAAAGAAAATCAACCAACGTTTTATTTAAAAATCGCGTTTTTCCCAACTTCTTAAATAAGTATTGTCTCCGTATACGTTTGATATTACAGTATTGCAATTAAAATAGTAACGATTGCATAAACATTTTGTGACAAAATCGTACTATTGACAACTGTCGCGGTAGATTCGTTGGCAGTGAAAACCAGTCTATAGGAATAATGTGTAAACATGCAACGGTCGCAGCGTTCGGCCGTCGCGACCAGCATAACACCTACGCCTAACCTAACCTCGTTTTCCCAATCGATTTCCGTTGCGCTTCGCGTATCGCGGCGAAGGCGCAAACCTAAGGCAGCAGCGAGTACGGCGATTTCCCGCGTTGATACTTATCCGGATGGAAATATTAACTATCTAATATCCAGATAGAATTGTAAACTTTATCTGTTTGTCCACCTTAGACGAACGCTTTAGTAAGAACTTTAGTCAATTTATCTAGGTTTATTTTTTTTTTTTTGCATAATATTCGAGAAATATTTCGTGTGCTTCGGGGACTCCGGGATTTTTCTGCCCATCGCTGCGACGTAATGTCGGTAACCAAGACAATGAAAACGTGTAGTTAAAACGAACGCTATTGAAAAAAACCAATATGTTTTCCTTGATTTCGAACATTCATACCCTAATGTGTACTAACCAAATTCAGCTATTATTTGGCGCAAATATAGAATATAATTATTATATATCTGTGGGCTTCACCAAGAATAACCACGTATAATAATGATAATTATAAATTTTTGGGTAATGGATAACGATTATCATCTCGTCATCATCATCTACTGTTTTTGGCAAAAACTATTAAAATCATTATGAAATAAATTCTTTGGTCCACGCAGAGCAGTTTTCTTTTAAAATTAATCCTTTAATCCACGTGGAGCAGTTTTCTTTTCGTTAATTTTGTATTAATGAATTTTAAAAAATGCGGAGCGCTAAACGGCTAAACGGGTAAATCTATTAACCATCCTCCACCAATATCCGTTCACAAGTGTTTTTCCAGCTCTATCGGTCTTATCGCCGAAAGCAAATTTTATTCTAATGAAATAAAACGCTTTAAAATCACGATAAATTTCAAATACCTCAAAAAAATACTTTATTCCCGATATGTCTGATAATTTTTTTGTTTTTTTTTTGTTGACAATTTAGTATAAAATTGTTGTTTATTTTTTAACTTATCTGCTTTATATTTAGATGAACTATGATTATCTTTTATTAAGATAATGTTAGTTGAACTTTGTCTTTATCTAAATTGATTTTTAATATATTATCTTCACATAGATAAAAAAGTATTTATCTGGGCTCAACCCTGGGAAGTGCTTCCTTTTATTTAGTAGTTAGATGGGCAATTGATCAATAATCAGTGGTACATTGTTAGACTTAACAATAAACATACACAAATACACTTATATTACATGAATAAATATTATACATACATAACGACTAATTTTTTTTTCTCGATCACCTCCCGAAATGTTGTAAATGAGACCCGTCACCTTTAGTCTAAGAGTAAGGGATCATATTTTAACCGATGTTGCTGAAATTAAATTAAATTAATTCTAAAATATATGCTACAAAATTAATGATATTTCGCAATAGAAAAAAATAAATCAAAATATTCTATTTTTTCGTGCAAAAATTTCTTTTGATAATGTAACAGCTGCATTTGACTACAAGAATATAAATATAACAACTGAAGGAATCTGAGAAATATATAAAAGATTCAAGGAAAACATTGATTATACCACTAATATATCAAATAAAAAAAAAAAAATTAAATAATACTAACCACACGTTTTGTTAAGATAGGGCTCAAGATTGGGCATTCCCTAAAACACAGGTTTGCGCACGCCTACAAGTTATGATCGCCATTCAAATGGGTCGATCCCGTACTTAACCGACGTGTTTACCAACAGAGTCGCCGATAAATGTTTACTGATTCATAGTAACACCGTGCGCATCTTATTGCGGTCTTATTGGTCGATTTCGATCCCGCGGATAAATGTCGGGCGGTAGTCGTTCGGTACCAAATACACACAGATCAACTCACGACCGTCGTGCGACGGTTTTATGTTTTCTATTATATTTTCGGCCGATGCGCCGACCAAACGTAGTTCGGTTTAATTTAATTTTGTATTTTATTTTCGTGAACGATTTACGGACCTGCGACATGCGTGCCAGGAGCACTTCGAGATCGAGCGACTGGCGGAGCTCACGGACGGCTCGCGGCTTCTGTGCACCGAGCGCGACGGCCACGTCCACCATGTACCGGTAGTAGCTGTCCACCATCTTGTCGCTGAGCCCGCGCTTCAGGTACACCGGGTTGATGCCGAGCGTGGGCCGGTCCAGCTCGACCACGTGCTCGGTGGTGTCGTTGTGGTTGACCGCGACGGACACGTCCAGCAGGTAGTCGACGTTGAGGCCCAGCTCGCGGAACCGGTACACGCGGTCCGTCCACCGGAACCCGGCGCCGTCCCACCGACCGCCGTCCAGCACCGGCCAGCCTCCGACCGCGGTGATTAGGCGCAACAGCGGCGCCGCGTCCAGCTCGTCCAGCCCGCGCTCGTCCATGCACATGCCGTACAGCCGCCTGGCCAGCGTCGGGTGCCGCGGTCCCGGTCCCGGTCCCGGTTCCGGCTGCTCCAGCACGCGGCGCACCTTGTCCGCGATTGCGTCGTTCAGCGCGTTGAACGTGGTCCGCTTCGTCTTGTCGTCGTCCACCCGGGCGCCCCGGGTGAACCGGCCGCAAGCGAACTCGTAGAAGTCGTCGCACGGCCGCACCGTCTTGTCCATGTTGGCCAGCACGGACGCCGCGGACATAACGCAACCCTCGGTCACGCATATGCGCCGGTCCGAGTCCGTCGGGTCAGCCGACCGCGGCCACGTCAGCAGCACCGCCAGCAGCGCTGCCGCCGCCGGCCGGCCGCACCGACGGCGTTCGTCGGCGGCCATCGTGACGGCGGGCTCGGAGGGAGTTATGGAGGGTCGAAAGAGTCAAAGAAATTAACAGTTTTTTTTTGATAGTCGCGAACGGAATATGCGACAACACAAAAAAGCTATGCGACACTGTTTGTTTACAGGCGACCTGTTCCGTACGCGATACCGATTCGCACTGTGGTAACTTGAAAACCGAAATAAATAATATTGACCAGCAACACGAGTCTTCGGGGCTCGGGTACGCATCGTGTCGCGCGCGTGTCGGCAACCTTAAAACGACATCAATGAACGTGAAACATTGTTCGCTGTCATCGGAGCACGTCAACGAGTCTCCTGCTAGCGAACGGCGGCGCACGCCAACACCAATCCAACCTGACCAGCAGCGGGAAGAGAGCGAAATTTTAGCGTTAACGCGGTCCGAACATTCGATTTGCGATCCGTTTTCCATTTCTTGTCGGCCGTTCCGACGTTCCTGTAATTGATTTTCGCGCGTGCCACACGTTTGACACACGTCGAAACTTATCGATCGTTGCACTTATCTCACGCGGCTGAATTTCGCTTAAGTCGTCGGACCAAACGGCCATTGGTGGCGAAATCGGGACATCCGGACCTTATTGCGCTCATCGACCGTGGACAACGGACGACGAGCGATTGTCGGATAGCAGTAGGGTTGCAGCCGTTCGATGGGTTAATCAATTTCAAATTTGATCGGGTTTCTTTTCAAAAAAATTGAAATAACGAGAAAGTTTTCGATATCAAACCCGTCTTAGCGTCGTTCGTTTTTACGTATGTTTTATTGGAGTGGTGATTCGTTTTCATCCAATTTCATGTCCATTGTATTTTGAAGCTTAGCCAATTCCATTTGAACATCGATCGGTATACACAATATAGTCATCGTACGTACGACGTAACAATTTTTTATTATTATTTTAATGTATACCAAACATAGTATAAATAAGCTCTAATTCCGTCCACATCTTAAGAAGGTATCCTCATGCTTATGCGTAGAAACCTAAATAAGTTAATTATTTTAATTCGTAAGTAACTAATTGATATTTATGATCCTATTATTTAAACTTTTTTTTTTAATATGGCTTGCTGTGAATCTATTCTATATGTATATCTAAAATATAATCATATTTTGATACATTTTTTCAACTGGTTGGTGATTACGTAGTGTAATGTATTAATATCGACAGTCGTAACAAAGTCTGGTAACTAACTCACCGATGGACACAACGGGTATGTAAGGTGATCTTATTTATGTTTAGAAACCTAAAATAACGTATGTCTTAATTTAAAAATAAAATTCTGATCTACGATTAACTGATATTATTCGTAAAATCACTATCTTGTACACGTAGTAAACAAATAACCAACAATCTGAGGTCATTTTGATAAAATGTTTATTTTGAACAAATGTTTTTTAAATTTCTTTACAGTGTAGGTACCTACATACTATACAGGTAGATTAGTTTAACTGAACTAAGTTTAATCAAGCACGATTTTACTCTCCAATGTACAAGTACCTTAAGTGTGTAAAATAAAGATAATTATAATTTTTTAAAAATGTAACTAGAACTAACTTTGTTAGGGAAATACATATTAATTTATTTCTATATTATGAAATTTCGAACCAATCATTTCTCCAAAATTTTAATTGTTCTATCCTCAAAATAAATACACGGAAAACAAATGTGTGTTTTATGATTCGAATATTTTTTTATTTATTTTTTTTTATTTGTTAAAAGAATAATTACAATCTATATCAATTTGTACATTAAGTTATTTTTATAATACATGTTTTACAATAACAATAACTAACAGAATGAGAGAGCACTCAGTAGTGCCACTCGACAGATTATTTGAATAGATCTTTAGGCTAGGTCCGATTTAATCATCTTAGAGGGTTAAGTGTACGGCGTGATCTCTTTCAACGGTGGATTTTAAGGAGGTTCGCAATATTATTTTTTCGATTTTAATTAGTTAAATTTTTGCCAGTTTACTCTGCCAGCAGTGAGAGAAGGTCTAGATAGTTTTTTAGCTTTAGCACCTATCTCTAGGAAAATCGGGGTGTGATCGGAGGAGAGATCGTTTAGATTCATTATATTAGTGATAAGATGGTTGGGTATTTTGTAACGAATATATCAAGTATATCAGGAAGTCTGTTTCTATGGGATGGCCAGTATGTAGGACCAGGGGGGGAAATTTTTGTGTAGTTTTTTATAGTTAGAACCGTATTAAGGGCTTGATCTCTAGTATTTGCAGAACGGTTTCCCCAGCAGGAATGTTTGCAGTTTAGGTCGCCTCCAACAATGAATTTTTGTCCTAAAGAGGAGAAGAATGTTTCAAAATTTTTTGGTGTTATTTTAGGACTTGGAGGACAGTAAATAGATGATATTATGATATTGCAAGTTGGGTATTGTTTTTTTAGGTTTATTAGCAGTGATGTGACTTGTAGGTACGTTTCAGAGTATGAGGTTAGTGGGTGATGGGATAAATTTTTTTTCATATAAGTGGCGGTGCCGGCATGGGCTGTACCATCGGGGTGACATTTTAGGTAGACTTGGTATCCAGGAATAGTTAAATGGGATCGAGGAGTAAAGTGAGTCTCGGATATTAGGGCGATGTCAATGTTTTTTTTTCGTGAAGTAATAATTGAAATTCATTTTTATGGTTATGAAGACCGTTGGTATTCCAAGAGAGTATGGAGAGAGGAGATATTAGATTAGTGATAGGTATAATAATTAATGCGTAATGACTAGCTTGTTTATAAGTGTTGTAAAAAGAGTTATAAGAGGAGTTATGAGTGACTGGAGTTCTTGGATAAATGATGAAAGGTGTTTATAAATATCAGGAAGGGTATCGGGATTGCAGGAGTGATTTTTCGTATTACCTTTGGCTGAATCGGCATAGGATGTCTGTCGCGTGGTATTACTGGTTGAGTTTGGATTTACGTAGTTTTGGTAGGTAGAGTTCAAATTGATGATGCCCGGGAATTTGGTGGTTGAGGGTTTACTTGGAAGTTGACGGTGATTATTTTGGTTAAAATCCTTGGATTTTGAATTTTTCGATCGTTGAAGAACTTTGTGTTTAACGCAACCTTTATAATTGGCAGGATGAGATTCGCCACATAGTGCGCAGGAAGGCGTCGTGTCTTTGGGCTTTTCGCAGAGTTTGGACAAGTGGTTAGAGCCACATTGGACGCATCTGGGTTCATGGTTACAATATGTCTTGGTATGTCCGTAGTCTTGGCATCTGTGGCATTGGGGTAGGTCTCGCCGGGAATTAGGCTCTTTAATTTTTATTTTAGTATAACAAAGCGAAATCAATTTGAAGATATTTGAATTGTTTGGGGCCGAATCCAAGTCGACGAAGAAAATTGGGAGGACTGATTTTGAGATTTTTGACTGTATGTTTGAAATATTTCTAAATTAAAATCCATTTAGAGTGAGTTCATTTTTGATATAGTTTATATCAGTTGTGGGGTGAAGATTTCGTATAACGATGCGATATGGTTTATACTCTTTTGCTTGATAAGTGAAATATTCGTATTTATTTTCGAATTATTCGGTGGTATGACTCGGTTGAGGTCGTTAATAGTTTTAAGTCTTTAGAAGTCGACTTACATTCGAAATCGTTTTTTCCTGTAATCGCTAGTATTGATTTTACGAAATCGTTATAGTTTACTGGAGTGGAAATTAATATTGGTGGTGTGATTGACGGAGGTTTTTCGCTGGTTGATTCGTGTAATATTTCGTTCTCATCATTTTCAATTACAGATAAAACATCGTAACGGTTTGGTGAAGTAAATGAAGAATTTGTTTTATTTGCAGTTTTTGGTTCTTTAGTTTTAGGAGATTGACCTGGCGAAGAGTTTCGTTTGGTTTTGTAAGTGACAAAATGCTGATCATCTGAGTCTTTGTCTAAGTTTAGAGTGTTATTTGTATAAGGAGGACTAATAGTTAAGTTTTTAGTATTATTGCTATTACCTTTGTTATTTATTTTAGAGGCCGTTTTGATAAATTAGTAGATTGGACATTTATAATCTTATTATTTTTAATTGATGACTACAAACGCCATCGTTGACGTCGATGAAGATAACGGGCGGTCTGATAGCGGTAATAATTGAGAAATTAAGCCGATAAGCCAGGTAGTGTAACGGGCGGGTGTTGGCCGCCCGGTTATTTTTTTATTTATTTATTTAATTTCATACATATATACATACATATGAATACTGGGCCCCACTGAGAGAACTCGTGTGGGGGCCCAGGAGTTCAAAGATAACATTACATTTGAATTACAGATAATTACAAATAAAAAAGAGAAAAAAGAAGGTTGTACATTCTTAAAAATATATAATCATATAGCTATTTTTTTTTTTTTAAACTAAAATTAGATAAAAATTGAATATATTGTGTTTATAAAGTACTGTAACAGATTATATGATTAATTCGTCATGAGACTCCAACATCCATTGCAAAATTCTTTTTTTAAATAAATTAATTGTAAGGGTTATTATTTCGGATGGTATTTTGTTACATAAATTTATACCGATTACTTCAAAATATCTACTAGTTGTTGTTTTTTTAGTTCTTTTAATTAAAAAATTGTTTTTTGCGTATCTTGTGTTGATACCATGCATTATGGGTTGTAATAAGTTATGACTTTTTAAAAAAATTGCTGTTATTATGAAGTATAGTTTCCTAACAGGGAGTACATTTAACTCTGTATATAAATTTCTTATTGGATACATACGCTCTTTATTGAGCAGTAACCTAATGATTTGATTTTGACAAATTTGAAGCTGAGATAATGTATTTTCAAAAACGCCACCCCAGCCTATTATTCCATATGAAATTATTGATTCCACCAATGCCAGATAAATCTGCCGAAGTTTTGGTAATTCTAGAACTTAATTTAAATTTCTTAATATGTACATCATTTTTCGAAGTTTTTTCGTTAATAGATCTATATGGTTCTTCCATCTCATATTACTACTAATTTCGATACCT